TACCTTCACTGTTCACCATGGGATAATGAGAATTCCATACAGAGAGGAGTCAGGCACTTCCCACAGAGGCGTGCAGGTGACGTGCCTGCAGTATACCTCTCCTAGTAGGATCTATGCCTACTAGACTTCCTCGGTATACAGTCCAGAGCAGAACAGGTCCACATCTCAGACTTCCTGTGAGAAAACACCCTGCCCAGGTCCCTGCCATGCCTCAAACAACGCCCCCAAAACACACCCAGATGCCATTTGTTCTAAAGGTTAAACTGCAAACCCAATACATCTTTCATTTATTTATTATAGTGAAGAGAGATGCAGAATAAAGATGTTTAAGTGATTTTTTAAAAATCAGATGCTTCCCACAAGTAGCACATTACACTTCCATGCCTAGGGTGCTCCTTTGTAAGGCTAGTGCCTAACTGTAAATATTTTAGAAGCATGAATAGCTCACACACACACACACACACACACACTCACACTCACAAAAAACGCCCCGCGATACATATAGTCTCACTCAACTGTTCTTCTCGGATAAGAATTGTTAGTGCCCTGTGATGTTTACCTACCTCCTCTCAGGAGTGTCTTTCAGAACAGAACCCTACTGACAGGAATGAGAGCCAGCCGGCCCCACATGGGGATCCAGTGCCTGAAATAGAGTGCAGACTTTCCTCCAAGAGCCCCCTCTCTCTGTCTGCAAGCACAAAACACTGCCACTTGCTTTTAAATTCCATCTCCAGCACAGCCCCTTCCTCCTCCCTTGTTCTCCAGCCTCCCGATGACCTGAGTGGCTCCACTCCACCTCCATCCTGGGCAACATTTTTTAACCAGGGGATACACCTTGACCCATCGTCAGAATTGTCACTGGAAGGTCAAAGCCTGCCACTCCATAACAGAGTCTCAGCACCCATGTAGTATTTCTTATGCTCTCTGGGTGGACAGCAGCTCTTACCGACTCCCATATCTTTGAAGTAATTTGAGCTGTCAGAGCCCAGATAGTTGGGGTGCCTTCTACTCCGGGTCTGGCTTGGAGTTCTGAAGTGGGAATATGAAGTGCATCTCTATTCTGGAGGCCTCCCTATCACGCTGGACCCAGGCATCTTCAGATTCCTGTAAATGTGAAATCTGTACATTTCCCCTAATGTTTCTCCAGAGTCCATGAGTCTGCATCCCTACCTGCCCTGTGCACCAATACCACTCTCTCCGGGTTGGTGTGTTTTACTTTCAATGCGGATTTATCCATTTTTTTTAACTCTACACCCCTTGTCTTGTCATCTCTCTCCCTCCCTCCCCACGTTCACATTTTTTTCTTAAAAAATAGAATGCTCCTTACACTAAGTTCCTGAGTGTGTAAGAGCATTCTGAGAGAGCCTGGGGAAAGGGAGGCGAGTGTGTTCGGGGTTAAATGCCGCCCAGACTATGTCCAGAAGAGCTGTGTGGATGTCTGAACCAGTGGTGACAAGATTGAACTAAGCCCAGCCCCAGGCACACTCCACCGGGCCTGGCTTTCTGGGAGAAAGAAATGTGTAAAGACTTAGGACTTGTTGGTCTTCTTGCTGTGCTTTCCTTCTAGCAAAGACAACTCCCGGGCTTAGGCTGGTTTGCAGTTGCTCCTGAGGCCGGGCTCGAACCGCAATCACCAACCAGGTGCACAGTATGTCTGCAAACCTGACTGCAGAACCCAGTGCAGCTACCGAGGGTTGGGGGGACTTGTCTCCCAAGACTGCGAATCAGCAACTCCTAGGAACTCCGAGGCCAGCTTGTAAAGGTTGGGACCCTGAGTCTTCAGTGCCGGGCTACAGGCACTCGTGGGTGGCCAGGCTCAGGGGAGCAGACTGTTGAAGTTGCTCTAGCCGCACACACACTCCGACGTTCCTGAAATGGAACACCGATCGCGTTTAACTCCCTCACAGGTTCCTGGACCGCAAACTAGCCATCCCTAGTCGATCTTTCCCCGGCTCCGAGTCTGCGCGCGCTGCGCTCCCTCCTGGTGGCGGCGCGGTGGACTCCCGGAGTTCTAGCCGGCCAGCCGCAGCCACAGCTCGGCGGGGTGCAGGGATCTGGGCCCATTCTCGTGGACTCCTTGCCATGAGCACTGCAGGATGGCAGCTGAGAGACGTGAGAGGGGAGAAGGAGCGAGAAAAGCTCCACAGCCGCAGACAGAGGCAAGGGCAGCGACTGAAAGGCCAGATGTGGAGAAATAGGCTTGTTCCGACTCGGGGCAGGAGAGAAACTTCATGAAGCCTGTCTGAGGCTGGACGTCAACCGGAGAATGGGGACTCACGCTGCCCACTAACGAAAACCTGGAGAGACCAGCTGGCCGAGTGGAGGACCGACCAGGATCTGGAGGAGGAAGCGCTGGTTATTGGAATTCTCGGTCTTCGGGAGGGAAACCCGAAAAAAAAAGTGCGTGCCTTTTTATTTTATTATTTTGTTTATTTTTAGGGAGCTCAGGGCTAAAGGCAGATCCCGGCTCCGCAGAGACAGGCTCCTGGGGTACCCACCAAGGAGGCCAAGCCTCACAAGCCGCTGGTTTGAGAACCCCAGGTGAGGCCCAGACTTCTTCCAGGTTGCGGGTGTCAAAGACCGTTCACTTTCAGTGGGCTGTCCCGCGTGAGCGTTTTTTCTGGAAAGTGCATCGGCTGTAGAAATTAGAAATACTGAAGCAGCCCCAATACAGCCGAAGTCGGAAGGGAGAGTGCCTTTGTTTGTGGAATTAAAGTTGATGCAATGAAAACCTTTATAAGAAAACGAAACTGAAAAAAAAATAGCAAAGCTTGACTTCACGTCTCTTCATTTTTTTTCCCTTGATGAGCGCCACGCACACGCCAAAAAGTCCTGGCAGCGAATGTAATAGAATGTGATTTGATACACTGCAAGCTACTTACATTTTAAATGTACCTCATTAAAGTAAACCCACTTAAAAAGTAAGATTTTTTAATTTAAAAAAATCTGCACACACAAAAGTGGCAGCTATTTTGGGTCCCAGACTTAAATAGTCCACGAAGGCTAGAGTTGAAACAGAATGAGTAAGAGCCTCTGGCTTTATTGAAATGTCCTGGTATTGTTTTCCGTCTTTCCCGAATAAAACAGGCGTGGAAAGAGGCAGACTCGGCCACCGGCGGGGCGTCAGCCACGCGTCGGTGGCGCGGTGGCAGCGCCAGGTTTTCGCAGCTGGGTCAAAGCCGGCAGGCGCGAGCCACAGCGCCCCCTCGCCGTCTGCCGCGTCACTCTGGCCCGCATAGCCTCCAGAAAGCCACAGGGCAGTTCTGTAGGTGGGGTAAAGACTTTACCATGTTAATTGTATTTGTTTTTAATTCTGCTACACACACCGGGAGGGTCCACAGGAAGCACCCGCAACCTAGGAAACTGTTACAGGCGGTCGCTTTTGCTTTCCAAGCAGTCACCCGACTGTCCTCAGTGTTGCACATGGTTCATCCCACTTAAGTAGCTGGGAAAAACAGGACCCAAGCACCAGGTTTCCTAAGAGACCGGTACACCTGAACACCCCTCCTACCCTGGACCACATCATCCATGCCGTTCTTGGAAAAGTAAGTTGCTGGGTCAGGGTCTTAGCAGTGTGTATTTAGAGCAATTTGAGCTAACCCCAGTGACCTTAGCAGCAGTGAGAACGTTCTACCCAGGCTCCACACTTGGAAAGTAAATTTTACTCATTGATTTTGTTGGTGGTGGTTTTTAAAGATCAAGCCAACTTTAACCCAAGAAAAGAAAAATTGGCTTTTTCAGACTTAGGGAGCATTAATGTGAAACGGAGTTTAAACACCCCAACAACAATGGGGAACTCATTCGTTAATGTGCCTGTATGGGCATTTTAATTTGCCACAGTCACTACCAATAAAATCGGCATGTAGTCAGATTCGACTGTTTAATTGCACAAGGTAGCCAGTTTTTATTAGTAACAGGCAGCAGTGTGGAAATTTCAGATTTTGGTAGAGGATAATTGCTGGAAGAAATACAGGGGACTTGGTAAGTAGGTTGCACCAAACATGAGGGCTGCACTTCTGGGTTGTTGTGCACAGGGACCCTCCATAACATGCTTGCCTAGTTATGTAGCTAATTGATGCCCAAATCAGCTGCATCTAGCCATAAGGACCTGCTCCAATTTGCTAGATTTTTGTAATAACTGGCTGCTTTCTCTTCCATCCTTGGCAGAGGTCAGAAGGTAGAGCAACCCTCACTGAAAGTTTGGCAGTAGAAATGAAAAGATCAAGATTCATACAATCACACACACACACACACACAGAGAGAGGTAAAATGTAGAGACTTTGTATACAAAAACTTAAACCAATCTAGTTGGAAGTTAACTGAATGCCTTAGTCAGACCCGGGATTGTTTGTTATACAGTATGTGGGATCTCATTGAAGGCCTCTTCCCAAAGGAATTCCTTCCCAAGAAAACAAAAATACCTGAATATGCAGATTTGGCTCCACCCAGTTGCCCTGCACTGAGTCGCTAGAGTGGTGTCTCTGTCTCTGTCTGTCTGTCTGTCTCTCTCTCTCTAATTCCCTCTCTCCCTCCCTTCCTCCCTCTCTCCCTCGTTTTCCTTTCTGTCTCTCCCCTGAACTAGGTGGACCTGGGGTCATCACTGTAGATGCTGTGCAATATGCTATGGCCTAGCTCTGAGTCTTTGGGGAGCGGGCTCTGCAGATGCGCTGAGACTTGGAGGGTGAGACTGGTAAAGGGGTCTTGAAAGGTTTGTAGGGGAGAGTGACAAGCGTCCTGAGAGGGGAGGATGCATTGGTATAGTAGTGGCAGTGTTAAAAGTCTGATAAAGGGAGTGTGTGGAAAGGACATACCAAAAGGGGTAGACACGCTTGCCTGCCTGCCTGCCTGCCTGGGAAAAATAATCCTCACTCCATCACTGCAATTGACTCCTGGTTTCCTGGAACCTGGGGAAAAAAACAAATCGCAGCCTGGCTGCCTACTGCGTTCATTGGGTGCCATGGATCTGGCACCGGAGCCGGAGCCGAGTGCCACAGTCCAATCCCACGCAGAAGCCGGTCACTCTCACGCTGGAGACCTCTGCCGCCCTCTACAAGCTTCAGAGCCCACCAAGGATGAAATGGCAGCTGATCTGAGCTCAGGCTTGCTCCACAGCCTGTAGAGTCCGCGTGCACCACCTAGCCGGCTTCAAGGACTAGACACCTGTTGGGTGGGCGCCCCCTCCCGGGCCAGCTCATACCTGACCCCTACGAGTCTCCGAGCGCCCCCCATTGGCAGTCCTTCAGGTCCAGTGGACTGGGCCCGCGGCCCCTCTGGCCACCCACACCCTCACATGGGGAAGGAGTGCAGGTATGGGGGGTTGCAGTTTAGGGGCGATTCCAACTTTCGCTAACCACTCAGCCTGAGGGACCAGCGAGTCACCTCCTGAACCATAGGTTACCTTAGCCACTTGTGAAGCCGATGCGCCACCTCACTGGCTGGCCCATGTCCCTTCAAGAAGTGGCAGTGAGACTCTAGCAAAGTCACAGACAACTCTTCTGTCGAGAGTCTTCCCCAAATTCGAAGACGCATTCAACTTAACAAAAGAAAACAAAACTGTTTTTGGGTCAGGGTGGCTGGGGATTTTTTTTTTTTTTGAGGCGAATCACTCACTGACGCGTTCCAGACGTTAATAGGCACGAAGTTCCTAACACATAGCCTGGAATCTTCTCTCCGTACTTGGGACAGAAGCCGCGTCATCTAGGGGCCTTCTGGGAACAGCTCCAAATCAAAAAACGCTCCTTTTCCGGGTCGATGCTTGGCAGCACAGGCGCCAGGGACAGGCCACCAGACGCGAGGCCACGCGGGCAGCCTCGGTCTTGAGGCTAGGCGGACAGAGGACTGTAGAAGTGAGACTGCCCAGCAACTCTGCAGGTAGCTCCACACTACCCTCCATCTCCCTGCGGCTTCTGCACTGGACACGGGATGGAACCTGGGCCGGCATCTTCAAGGTGACGAGGGATGCCTGATCCGTTCGTCCCTCCCGGTGGATCGGACCGGCCTGACTGTGGAAGGCCTTTGCAGACCAGTGTGAAGAGAGCAAGAGCGCTGGTGGTGGTTGAATGGGGCCCGGGGAGTGAGGAAGGTGGCTGGGCCGAGGCTGGAGTCGGCGGCAGCAGCGGAGTGCGCGGACGTGGCTGAGAGGACATGCCAGTGGGAGGGGGTGAGAGCTACGCCCAGTTTGGCCAGGCCTGACTTCACCGCGGCAGGCCGCGGGCTGGGGCGGGAGCGGCTAGAAGAGGCTGCGCGACAAAAGCCTGCACGTCCCTCCCTCCTACCGCTCGCTGCCACTCCTCCGCCTTCACCAGCACTCCCCTCCCATCGCTTTCTGCCCCTCCCCCGGCCTGGGCTCGGCCTCAGCAGCGGGCGGAGCAGGGGAGGGGCGAGCACCAGACTATGCAAATGAGAGTGTGACGGACAGCTCCGCGTTCCAATGTCCCTCGGAAACTCCAACGCTCCTTCCTCAACTCCTCACTCCCGACTGCAGACTCCCCCAAACCCCGACCGCCGGCCTGGCGCGCGGCTGCGCCCACCGGTTCCGCGCTGCTGCTGCTGCTGCTACTGCCGCCGCCGCCGCCGCCGCCACCCCGCCGATCCGCCGGCCCGCGGGCCTCCCAGGGTAGTGCCCAGCTCAGCCTGCCCGGGCCCATAGCCCTGGTGCGCCCCGGCCGGGCGTGGATGGAGGGCGCCGCGCGCGCTGCCCGCTGCTCTGCGTGACGCGGGCCTCGTGCCCCGCGCCCACCATGTCCTACCCGCAGGGCTACCTGTACCAAGCGCCCGGCTCGCTGGCGCTCTACTCGTGCCCCGCGTACGGCGCGTCCGCGCTGGCGGCGCCGCGCAGCGAGGAGCTGGCGCGCTCGGCGTCGGGCTCCGCGTTCAGTCCGTACCCCGGCTCGGCGGCCTTCACAGCGCAGGCGGCAACCGGCTTCGGCAGTCCGCTGCAGTACTCCGCAGACGCCGCCGCTGCAGCTGCCGCGGGCTTCCCGTCCTACATGGTAACCGCTTTGGGGTGGGGGCTGGGAGACCCCCAACCCCTGGCTCGGGTTGAGCGGGGATACTGGGAACACGGCGCGGGCGGCGGCTCCGGAATCACCAGCACCCGCTGCCGCGCGAAACAAGGGATCGGGCTGACACGCAGCGGTTGTGGGATGATTTCCTCTAAGCCGGTGCGAGGTGCTACTCCACTCGGACCGGGGCCATGAGTTGTCTCTAATTCGCGCCTGCAGATTGCTGGGGCTGCAGAATCGGCCCGCGGCTTTCCCACATGGTTCCAGGCCGAGGGCTGCCGCTGCCCAGGCCTCTAGGGCCACTGCCGCACGGGTCGAGTTTCTCAGCCACGCGAGTAGTGGCGGGGTCACCGAGTTGGGGGGAAGGCACCGAGTCTCCGGCTGCCGCCCCTGGACCCAGGCCGAAGCTCTCTAGTCTTGGCCTTTATCTGTCTCTCAGATCTGGCTTTCAAAAAATATGTTGACGGCTTTGGGACCTGCTAAATATGCTGCCGGAGTTCGTGCACGGCCTATGGGCTCCAGCTCCAGAGCCCCAAGACCCGTCTGAACATCTCTGGATTCTGAGAATGGGCCGCTCAGAAGTGTGTCTGAGCAGTTTTGGGGAGTGGGAGGGCTTGGTGTGGCGGGAGGGGGGACGGGGCGGTTCATACCCTAGGTGAAAATCAGGCCTAGGGAGAAGGTTACAGACATCTATTTAAACGTTAAAAGATGAATTTAAATGCTAATTGCTGCGTAGTTGAAGAATTGTGAAAGCTGGCTGGCTTCTGAGTTGCAAATTGGATTTACTCTACTTTAGAATGTGAATAGCGGAGTAGGATTCCGGAGTAGGATTCCGAACTATTTTTTTTTTAACTACATAAAGGAGGGAAGGGGTGAGAGGGAGCAGCGCGGGAAGCATCCGATGAAATTTAGATTTCAGGAAAGTACTACCTGCAGAACTGCGGAGCTATCCAGAGAATGTGTTTTCAGACATTGTTGGAGCTACTCGGGAACTTAGGTAGTTGCAGAGGAGAAAAAAATAAGACAGTTAAAACGAAATTCTAGAGTCAAAAGCCAGGAGTTTTGTTTCCGACAGCTGGCCGTGTGTTTCTCCTGAGTGCTCTCTGCAGAAAGATTCGCAGCCCAGAGAAGCTAAGCTAGAAAGGCGGGGGGGCTGGGCTTTGGAGGGGGCGAACGAAGGGTCGCCTTTGGGGGAGGGGGTCGACGCCTGAGGGGCCCACGTACCCTCCACTCACAGGCTGTTGTGGCTTCCAGGGCTCGCCATACGACACGCACACCACCGGCATGACTGGCGCCATCAGCTATCACCCATATGGCAGCGCGGCCTACCCTTACCAGCTCAACGACCCCGCGTACCGCAAGAACGCCACGCGGGACGCCACTGCCACACTGAAGGCCTGGCTCAACGAGCACCGCAAGAACCCGTACCCCACCAAGGGAGAGAAGATTATGCTGGCCATCATCACCAAGATGACCCTCACGCAGGTCTCCACCTGGTTCGCCAACGCCCGCCGGCGCCTCAAGAAGGAGAACAAGATGACCTGGGCCCCGAGGAACAAAAGCGAGGACGAGGACGAGGACGAAGGAGATGCTGCCAGGAACAAGGAGGAGAGTCCCGACAAGGCTCAGGACGGCACAGAGACCTCCGCAGAGGACGAAGGTGAGCGGGGCCGAGGTCAGTGCGGAGGCTCAAGGAGCTTTCTTCCCAGGCGGGCAATGGTTGGGGTTGATGCTAAGCACCTGCCACCCGGGGCCCGGGCCTACAAAAGCGGCTAAACGGCTTCGTTCTGGGCCCGCGGGGTTTGGTTTGGAGATCCTCGGGCACTGCGGAGATGTTGGGGCGCGCTTAATGCCTTGGGGCGAGGTACGGGGTCATGGGGAGGCCCAGTGCAGGACATTTGGGCAGAAGGGACTGTGGGTGCACGCGCTGGCCCAACTTTGTGCCCATCGTGTCCGTGTCCCCGCAGGGATTAGTCTGCACGTCGACTCGCTCACGGACCACTCGTGCTCAGCGGAGTCAGATGGGGAGAAAGTGCCCTGCCGCCCCGGGGATCCCTTGTGCGAATCAGGCTCGGAGTGTAAGGACAAGTTTGAGGACCTGGAGGATGAGGAGGATGAGGAAGACGAATGCGAGCAGGACCTGGCGCCTCCCAAGCCTGTGACCTCCTCTCCGCTCACCGGCGTGGAGGCACCCCTGCTGAGCCCGGCGCCCGAAGTCGCGCCGCGCGGTGGCAGCGGTGGCAAGACGCCCCTAGGCAGCCGGACGTCGCCTGGAGCGCCTCCGCCCCCCAACAAGCCCAAGCTATGGTCGCTGGCCGAGATCGCCACTTCGGACCTCAAGCAGCCAAGCTTGGGCCTGGGTTGCGGACCTCCGGGGCTTCCAGCTGCCGCCGCGCCTGCCTCATCTGGGGCCCCTCCGGGAGGCTCGCCCTACTCAGCCTCTCCGCTGCTGGGCCGCCACCTCTACTATACGTCGCCTTTCTATGGCAATTACACAAACTACGGGAACTTGAACGCCGCGCTGCAAGGCCAGAGCCTTCTGCGGTACAACGCTGCGGCCTCCGCACCAGGCGAGACACTACACGCCATGCCCAAGGCGGCTAGCGACGCAGGCAAGACGGGCTCGCACCCGCTGGAGTCCCACTACAGGCCTCCTGGCGGCGGCTACGAGCCCAAGAAAGGTAGGCTGCCCGAGGCCGGCGGGGAGGGATCCTGGTGAGTCAGAACTAGCTAGAAACCTGGGAAAGGGCTCCAGGAATGGGAGACCTTTGAACAGACAGAGCGGCTTGCCAGACCAGAAGCCAGTGTGAGGAGGATTGAAGGTGAAGTCGAAGAGGACTAGCCTGTCCTCCTTTTGCATCTACCCTGTTTCATGTACTCCTTATTTAATTTGCTGTTATCATCGTAACTATCTTGTTTTGGCAAATTTACTGCCAGGCAAAGAAAACTGCGCTTGCCCCTCTGCTGGGTGTAGTCTTCCCTCTGTCGCATTGGTTAAGTAGAGCTTGGCTGAATCCTTTCTGCCTTTGGTTCGAGGAAAGCGCAGGGTCTTGGGAACTCTCAGAGGCCTGATTTTCTCACACTGCCTACATTGTTCCTAATTCGGCATCCCTGAGATGGAGGCTCAAGAGGAGGAAGAAAGGAAGGGACAGGAAGGAGCATAAGTAAAATGGATCTTAGTTCCCTGGGAGTGTTCCTTGCAGAGATAAAAGCTGATAGGTGCTTAGCTGCCAGGGGTTGCAGCCTGACCTCACTAACTGCCCCTCCCCTGACAGATGCCAGTGAGGGCTGTGCAGTTGTTGGCGCAGGAGTCCAGCCCTACCTATAGGAGGGCCAAGCTCAGCAGTGCAAGTAAGTGGGTTCCCTCTGCATCCTCCAGCCCCAAGCCTATGCCCTGTGTAATGTGGTTTTGCTTGTCAAGGGTTGGAGAATCGAGTCTGGCTTCCTTCTGGCCTCTTTGCCTTCTGTTTTATATATTTCTTCTTTTCTGCTCAAGTTGTGCTTTGGAGAATCACTTCTTTATTCTCAACACACACACACACACACACACACACACACACACGCATGCATCCTCAAACATGTAACATACACCCCACCACTACTTGCATTGGTTGATGATGGTTTAAAAGTCTCCATGTCATTGAGAATTGTTTTAGAAACATAAAAGACACTTGCTTGATACATGAGTTGTGCAGGAACTTGAGTGTTGTTTTCAGAATAAGATTAAAGGAACACCGACAAGGGCTGGTCTTTCATAAGACACACTGGACTCTGTAGCTCTCCTAGTCCAGAGCTGTTGCAAACTAGCCCCAGATCCTAAAGATGGCAAAGAGGCAGAACCAGGAGATACAAGCTTGTGGGGTTTTGTTGTCGTTGTTGTTTATTTGTATTTTGGTTTGGTTTTGTTTTTGGTAACGGTGTTCATGTGGAACTAAAGAATCTGGCATGATTTGGTTTTTTCCTTGGTCCACAGGTAGGTGTCACAATTGCTTTGGAAAAAAATAAATAAAAGTCAGGAGGCCATTCTCCTTCCCCAAGCTCATAAGTACACAGATACAAACCCCAGATGTGGAAATCCGGACCACATTTTGTGCCACTGTAAAGGAGGATGCGCACTGCACTACCAGCCCACAGACACTAAAGACCGGACACACGTTGTTGGGCATATGTGAATTTATTGGCATAGTATAGCTTCCCCATGTTTGTGTGACTTTTGGAAACAATCTGTTTTTTCTCAGGATATCTTGATCACTTCATTGCCACGGTATATATTCTATAGGTGTGATAGGACTTGCTGTAAAATTTATTTGTAAAAAAAATGTACACGGTAGAACTAATGTGATTGAAGAACTTAAGTCCTTCAGAAGTGGAAACAAATTTGATATTTATTTTTATAATGATATAAAGCTTCTAGTAATTTATGCAAGTTGTATTGCAATGAAATCTAAAACTTTTGTAAATAAATTCTGCCTGGTTTTTATTTGAACATTGCTGGTTATACAATCTCTGTTGGTTGTTTAACATGAATTCTCTACTAATTTATATCTAAAATTGTAAATAAAAACAAACTAGCCTACAAGAAAATGGTGTTCAGGGCTCATTTTTACTGGGCAGTGATTTGGGTAGGAGGCCTAGGGTGGCCATGGTTCCCCCTCATCCCGTCCCCCACCGGCAGGTGATCCTAGCTCATTTTTTAAATGAAGAGCCTAGTCAGTGAAATAAACTTCTTCCTTGAGCTTATTTGAAATTCCAGACAGGAGAGGGGAAGGTATAAATGTACAATGGGGAGATACCTATGGTTCCAGATGATTTACATACAAATGTGTTGCAAGAAAATAATTCAGATTTTTTTGTTCTCTGAATATGCAAATCCCTACTTAGTGTAAATTTCTAAAACCTGGAAAAATAAAAGGATATGCCACCTCTCTCTGCATTTTATCTTCTTTCGCGGTGCTGAAGAAGGGTCTTCCCACTCACACTGGAGAGGACCCTCCCACAAGAAATTGCGATGGGAAGAGTTGTTTTCCTGAGCCTGAAATGTCTCAATTGACATAAGATCACGCACATTTGTTGAAGGACTCTTCCCTTTCCTTTCCGTTTAGTCCCCATTAAGAGGAGAGGGGTGGGAAGCAGATTCTTGACTGTGGTGCTCTGCTACCCTTCCCCTCAGGGGAAAGAAAAGTTTAAACATCCTCAGACATTGTCTCTTTATTGTCTCCTCACCTCGTAATTACAGGACCAGCCTGGAATTTGCAGCCAAGTAACCCAGCCCCTTTGATTAGTATCATAAAAGCCGCACTCTGTCACTTGAGCGGTTCTCAAATTATGTAGATACCCATATAATAAAATTTCTCAGGAGAAGTGAACAATCATTTATTTCCTTTGCAGAGATAAATTGAGTGAATATAACTTACGTTTATAAAGCAAGAATAATGGTTCCTTAGATTGCCCTTTAATCAATCATACGCTTATTTTTCAAGAGGCTCACCTATTTCATCCCATGATTAATAACAGTACGGCGGGGGAGCGTTATTGGAGCCCAGCGGGGGAGGTCTCTGGTGCTTTGGGCTGCTCTGGAATGGTCAGTTGGGGTTCATTATGGGCCGAGATTGAACGATTTATAAAATCTTGTCTAAACATCTGCCAGCTCCGATAGGCTGATGTGGCCGAGGGATGGGAAATTGCTAGGCCAGTTGATATTGACAAAAGGATCTCTCTCCAGTGGCTTTTTGTGCCATAGAAATTAGTGGCCTCTTGCTGGGGTCTTGTTAGAAAGGGTATTGGAAAGTCATCTTATGTACTTGAAGCAAAGCCCCCAGCAGGCCAGCCCGGGGAGGAACTAAGTTGGTACTTCTGGAGGAGGGGAATGAAGGCTTCTTGGGCTTTGGGGGTTGGGCTGAAATGCAGGGGCATTTAGAGTTTGGATCTAAAGTGTCCGATTCTGGATAAGATACTTTTCTCTCCTCCATGCCTCCTGGGAATGGAAATGGAGATGTCTTGAGCTGAGCTCTTGGGGGCCAAAAAGAAGGATAAAAAAAAGAAAAGGACCCTTGCTACTCTAGGAGATTCCAGGGCACTTTGGTTGTCTGTCTCTCTGTTTGGGTTTCTTAGGGTTTCCAGAGATACCCATCTCTCATCCCAGATCCATTTTACACTGCACTAGAGCAGTAACAAACGGCCCTGCTTTGCTGATGTCAGCCATGTTTCATAAATCAGCAGGACCCTGAAAGGCTGGGTGACAGTATCGCTGTCACGTGAAATGCTGTAACTTAAGTATTTTGAAAAATTTGGGGACAGTATGAAAGTTAACAATATTTAACAAACAAACCGCTCAAGATAACTGAAATGAAGAGGCATCATTTAAGGTAGAAGTGTGGTTTACATCGTGTCAGGAAAAAAAATCCCAAACCCCAAATATACTTCCTGCGTGTGTCTTCCGAATGAGAACGCCGGTAACGTCTGGAAAGGTTTTCTTACCTGGACATACAATCAGGGTTCCTTTTGCAGCACAGGTCTCCCGACCCCTACCCCATCCCAGAGGACTGGCATGCTCCTCTCGGTGACAACTCAGTGGCCTCAGGAGATTAGCCAAAGCTAATGAAGCTGCTTTGATGTTTATATGCCCAACAAATTATCAGAGATTTCCACAGCTTATCCTCCTCCCTCCTGACCTGAATATATATCTTACTGGGGAACTTGATTTTCAAATAAGCACTAAGAACATAAAATTGCAGGTGTTTAGAGGGACCTTTTTAGAAACATAGAGTGATTTATGAAGGGGTGGGGAAGAATCCCCGTTGGGGGAAGTGACCTCCTTGGAGAAATCTACGCTGTGGAGCTGGGGCAGGGCAGCCACCGACTGCCTGCAAGCCCCGTCGCGCCAGTGGCTGTTGGGCCCTGCATCTGCCCTGTCAGACCGCCACAGCCTTTCTGCCCTCCACAGCCCCGACTGCGTTAGAGCTAGTTTATCAGAATTCGTGCTTTAATCTCAGGTGGGACCCGGGGGCCCGGGCACTGCTGAGAGCGAGTGCACCCGGGGCGCTTGCCGGGCGGCCGGCTGGGGCGCTGCCTCCTGCGCCCGTCAAATGTCAACATTTGTTCCCAATAAAAGAGTTATTGTCTCAGCAAAGCTGCCCAGCAACTGCCTTTGAAACTTGAAAAGAACTTCACCCACCTTTGTCTGCAAGTCAGGAGAGGCAGGGAAGAGAGAGAGAGAGCAAGGGGGCAGGGGTAGCCAGAGGCATGCTAGGATTTGGGGTGAGTCTCCCATACAACCCCTTGCGGGTTGCTCCTGGTGCTCATTCTGGAAGTGGGAAAAAGGCTAGAACTACATAGTGGAGGAGGTCCGCTGAGTTCTATGGATCAGAAAGCTGCAGACTCCACGACTTTCCAGCTGATCCAAATGCACTGGATGGCACCAAAGGCCCAAGCTTCCTAGGGTCAAGAACAGTGACGCTGAAATAATTATGAAGGAGGCTAAAGGTAAAGAGCGCCCTTTTGAAATCCATCTTAGTAAACTACTGTCCTGAGAGAGCAGTTTCACAGTCATCAATTAGAAAAAATAAAAAAAAGTCACTTCAAACCAATCCAGGGAGTCGAAGAGGCATTTTTAAAATTTAAATAGACTCCAAATTGTTACAAAGTTCACTCCAACTAGCCACATACTTACAATGATTGCCACCATTTAATTTTTTAGCTAACCAGTCCATCAAGATCTCAAGGAGACATTCACTTAGACCCCCAAATAAAATCTATAGCTACATTAAATATGCTTTAAAATCGCTTTTGTGACAATAGCATTTCAAGTATTTTAAGGATGCTATCCCAAGTGGATCTTGGAGAGAACACACAGCTGTCTGCCCCATGTGCATGTTATATTAACATCATATAAATTTCCACAGATGGGTGGGGGGATGGTGCCCTTTGATGTAGTCTCAAACCTTTATGCAAGTGACAAATCCCTACCGATATTTTAAAGGCTTATTTTAAGGAGAATTAATCTATGACAATATAATTTCCCCAATGCTCCCAGTCCACTGTCTGCCTCGGACCTGAAGCCACAGCTAAATGAGGGAGAAAACCCAGCTAACCCCACTTGTAAGGGTCAAATGTGTGTGCCTTGACCAGCACTCTCTACAAACAGTCTCTCAGAGCACCTCCGTCCCCTGGAGTGGGTACAGAGTGCTGTCTTTTCTAAGAAAACTGAACATTGAACATATTATTTAGGAAGACAATAATGATAATACAGTTAACACAGTTATGAAACACCCTGTCTGTTCTCTTCAATCCCAGGTAGAAGGGGGAGGAAGAATGCTTGTTTGTTTAAGTCTGGCCCCAAGCTCTTAAGGGAAAGGCTTTCAAAAGGTGCCCCAACATTATTTTGTTCTATTTGGAGCTGAAAAGAAGTTAAGTCCACTATTCTTCAAGGACTGACTGTAAGGATCCAGGCAGCCTGAACAGGCAGGGTGGATCTTCCTAGGCCATGCCCAGGAGAGGAAACCGAGCTACACTAGCAAACATTTTTTATGGGGAAATAAATTGACAATTTATTGTGTGTAACTCCTGATCAATTATTAATCGTTAGTGTCAACAACAGGGTTATAATTACCTTCCGTGATTTAAAAAAATATTTGCCTTTTCGTGGCTCTGATCTGGTGATTAGTTAATGCTCTCCCGTAATGAGTTCCAGGAATCACTGATCAGACCTTCCTCCCTCCCTCCTCCTCTCCCTCCCCCCTCCCTTCCCCCTTGCCTCCCTTTTGATGACCTTTAAAAGGAAACACATTCACTCTCTTGTTTCTCAGAAATTTACTCCTTGCTTCGGTTGTTTCCAGGGAGCACCTTTTATTTTTCTGCCATAAATAATGATTCCGGAGGAAAGGGGGAAAATGACAGACAAATAGGCCGCAGCTGGAATGAATAAGGCCGATCAAAGGGTGTGGGGCTGGGCTGCCAAGGCAGCGCAGGTCGGAGCGACCAGCGTGCCCGCCGCGCTAGCCTCAGCCCTCAAGATCAAGGGCAGGGGCTGCGTGCTGGTAACCCGAACGCGTTTGGAGGAGGTGGCCCGGCCTGAAGACCCTTCAGAGACCGTGGCCATTATGGAACACCCGCCTGCAGCTCTGCACTTTCGCCCAGCGAGGGTGCAAGTTCCCGTTCCCCAGTCAACCAGTGAGGGGGTCGAGATAGCAGGGGTTCCGGACCGGGACTGATCAGGAGTTCAGTTATCGGATTAGGGGAGAACAGCAGGGCAGCCCCCAGATCAAGTGTTGGGCACTCAGTCTTAGCTCTGGACTTTGGCTGAGAAGTGGCACCCGCGGAAGGTTAGTGGGAGATGTGTCCACCATCCCCAGAGCCCGCCCTGTGCTGACCATACAGCCCCAAATCGGAGGCCTGGGCTGAATTCTCCTAAGGCACCACCACCTTCGCTGTTCCCTGACGGGGCTGCCCCGACCCCGTTTGTCCGTAGGAGCCTCGTTTATGGGTGCCTCGTGTGTGTGTGCGTGTGTGTGTGTGTGTTGTGTGTGTGTTCGTGCACGCGCGCTGAAGTACATTCACGCCCTAAAAATGACACCCAGGTCTGCTCCAAGTGCATGTTTCCCCATCTATTTGCAATCGTTGTGTTTCAAGGACTTGTCCTGTTCAAAAGCTCTCCATCCACCCACTCCCAACCCTAGAACCGTTCCAGCCAAAGAGTCCTTCATCTGACTCCTTCAGGCCCCTTTCTATTATTCTGTCCACCAGAACAGTGAGTGGCTTGCCCACGTGTGCTCTTAATTATCACATCGAGGTACTATAAGGCCACCGCCAGCAGGCAACCCGGAGCAGAAGCTGATGTTTCTGAGAGCAAGAGAGCCGCCTCCGAGCAGACTTTCGGGGCGAGGGGGGGGGGGACGGGGAGGGGCAGGGCACCTGGATGTGGAGGACA